GGGGGGGGAGTCATACATGTTCAACGATTAATATTATCTAAGCACATCTTCCTGATTGTAATGTTAAAACTACTAAATTTTTCTTAAATTGTGCTTTTTTCCGTCTGTGTATTAGCTGCTTGCATCTCTAGTTGATAAAGCACCCGCTGTTATCCATGAGCCCAATAGACCTCGTGCCATTGTTGGGACTTTGTTAAAGATCTTTTTCACACTTCTTTGCTCACGTACTGGACTATCATGGGTATGCTGTTATGTAGTAATAAAAGTCTTCTGCTCTGCAACATTTCAGAAATTTCATTAAATATTTTGATCTGATATTGCTTACGTGAAATCCCATGGGGTTTGGAAGTGTTTTAAAAAAAAAAAGCTTTTGTTTGGTTTTTTTGGGTTTTTTTACAATCTTTTAGCTTTCATTCTTTAGTCAATTTTCTTAATGTTTTGTGGGTGCTTGGCAGGTGCTCTGGTGTGGTTTGCTCCTTCTTTCCTATCAAACATCTATCATCTTTATATCCCCTCCTTTTTTTGTGTTTGTTACTTGTAACACCTCTATTCTTTGGCGCTTATATGGCCTTATTGTGTTGCAAGTGCCGCAAAACTCTTACTAAAACTAAAAAACTAAAGTTATTTTTACACTGCTTAAGTAATATTTGGGAGTAGAAGAATCCCTTTTTATGACAAGGTTGCCAATGATAAGTTTCCCCTTCTACGTCATACGTCATTTATTGTTTCTGCCTTTCCTTTGTAGCATTATAGAACTGTTTTTAGGTTCATGTTTGTTTTCTGCTCTCTTTGGCGCTTGACAGTGTGATTGGAGAGAGTGACTGAATCTTTTCCCATTTGCTGTCCAAATAAACAGCCAATTGATAAATAACTCTTGTTTGGGTCGATGAAGAGAGTCACTCATAGGGTTTACTTCCTTACAATTCCACTTTTGTATTTCTCTGTCTGAATTGATTTTTCCTAGCACTAAATAATGGTTATCCTGAGGGGATCTAGCATAGGAACCTCTTTTTAACGAAGAACCGAACTAACTTACTCATCACCATTATCATCATCATCATACTGTAAATCATCAAAGGTATAAACTGAGCAACATCCCCCCCCCCCCCCAAACAAACACTCAACAAAAACCAAAACAAACCCCCATGTATTTCCCAGTAACATATTTTTTTTAGGGTTATATTAACTTACCACATTAACACTTTTTACTTATAACTCTCCAATATTTCTCACCAAAATCTGTACGGAACAAATTTTTCAAAAACCAACAAAGGAAAAAAATAATAAAAAACGGTAGCTGTGTTGAATTTATTGAATCTCTAACGTAGCTCCCCTAGAAGGGACACTAAAGAAAAAAAGTGATAACAGCGAAACCTATAGGCCTGTGGTTGTTTGATGACTTTGATGGGTGATGAAATCCACTAAGTTGTATTTTTGTCCTTGACAGCCTTACAGACCATAAACCAGTCGGTGAACCCCTGGGGGCCGGTTGCCGTGAACCCACCGTCCACCTGGGGTGCAGCGGCCGCAGCAGTTCCAGCTCCTCCCCAGATGGCCACCATCAACTCCAGCAGCAACTCAAACCCATTTGTGTCCTCGGGGCCCGCCTTTGTGCCGCAACCAGGCAGGCTCAACAATGGAGGGGCTCCAACGACCATGTTGCAACAACAGCAGCAGCAGCAGAACATGTTTGCCCACAACCGCAGTCATTCCATAGACACGGGGGAGATGTCGAGCACCCACTGGCAGCGGAATCATCATCAAGTTCAGAAAGCACAACCCTCGGCTACAACAATGCCCCACCAGGTGCAGCAGAATGGCGGAGTGGCCTCGGTACCCTCCTCTGCGAGTTCCAATGCAGCAGCCATGGGGTCATCGAGTCCATGGCCCACCTCTGCTCCACCCGTCCCTTCATCGCAGGGGCCTAGCGTCGACCCGTTTGATGTGGCCTGGGCTGCAAAGTCTGTGAACCAATCCAGTGCAAACCCCTTCGCGAGTAAATCAGTCAAAAAGTTTGAAGTCCAGTTGTAGTGGTGGACAAGGACATTGAAATGAGCCCCAAGCGGATTGTGCTACCTTTGTGTTGACATGAGCTCCTGACTTGCCTTCTTTTGTGAGCCTTGTATTTTCGTTTTCTTCATAGCAGGATAGAGGTTCGGTGAAGTATATGACTCGTTCTGGAAGGGTAATAATGATGGTGAAATTATATTTCTAATGTAACGTACAACTATTTAACTAGAATATTGAACGGTATTTCAATAAAAGCAATGCTGTAACAGTTCCCCCCTCCCTTGCACTTATGCCACAAAAAGAGTGATAAAAGTACACTGTCTTATCATTGGTTGTGTTTTCTTGTTTACAGTTACATTCAAGAGTTGTTTTTGTTTTTTTCACTTTTTAATTCTACTTTAAGCACTCCCGATACGCCTTTTATGTTTTGTATTGAGATGTTGAGAAAGTCACCTGGTTGTCTCTTTTAAATGGCCAAAGCATGCTCTGAATGCAATTCTTACCCATCCTTATTTGAGCCTTGAACACATATTTTGATCAAAGCCCGAAAGTTGTTGCTCACTTAAAGGATTTCTAAGAAGTTCTAGCTTACTTGTGATTTATTCTGACACTACCAACTCGGTAATGTAGTTATTACAGTGACCTTGAGTGTTCAAGTCCGATACATTGTGAGGTTTGTCTTTACTTTTCTCGTTTCTACTCTTTCTCTCTTCCTCTCCTCCCCTTACATGCTTTATTTCTTGTCCTTTGAGCTTATATGTCAAGTTGGCATGGGTGAACTTTTTGGAAATTTTTTTTTACAAACTCTTGTTTCGGTAAAAGTTGGTGTTAATCACAGTTTAGAATGACATCATTAGGGCCTAATTTCTTTTGTTTTCTGGGCAGTGTTGTTGCAGCTGTCATGTGAATTGAATCTCAAAACCTACAACTGTTATGCTCACGAAGTATGCCTAAGATGCCTTATCTGGCATTGTCTAATTTTCTTGTAGGTTATTTTTATTGTTGTTTTTGTCCCCATATGTCAGTTACAGATACTTTGCTTGCACAGAGAAGTTGAGGAAAACTGATCTAGACCCAGCAGCCCTTACAATTCAAAAGACTTGAGTTGTGGCTTTGAGTATTGTTAGGAGACTGCATATATAAAGCTTGAGGGGAAGAAAAAAAAAAAAAAAAGAAATATTGAACTGTTGTGACTAATATTATCCTTGAGAACTATTCCAGTTTTATTGTTAGATTGTTACCAGATATAGGAGTCTGGCATGACTTACCTTTTCACTGTCGTGAGCACCATCATTATTGTTTTTCATGTTCTCCCCCCCCTCCCCCCCCCTCCCTCTCTTTGCACTGCCTGTGTCCTGGCCAGCATGGTTTCTTTGTGGCATGTTTTTCCATCTTCCATTTCCCTGCCGGGCTATGCTGGCTTGTCATTCTGTCGTTGGGCCTCACTGCCATCCACTTTCAGACTGCGGATAACCAACTCTACTCAAGGCTTGCATGTCTCATGCCTGAAAATTGTAGCAAAACGAGAGCTTTTCCATCTTTGGTTTCCGGTTTACTGTCTTTGGTTTCGAATTTTACATTCAGTGTCCAGTTCAAGAGATTGTGTCCTTTTGCACAGAATTACTTAGATATTTCATTGCAACCTAGAGTACTATGACTTGGGCAACAAGTAAGCAGTCACAGAAACCTAATTTTAATATTTTAGTTCAGAGATAGGCAAACGTTAGAGTACATTGTTAGTGCCACATGCACAAGGTCGACAATTTTAAATAGTCATGTGAGTAAAATAATCAGTACTCGTTGGTTAAAAGTAGTTTTCTTTTGCAAGAACAAAGACATTATTTAGCTTTGTGTTCAGCTGTTATATATGTCATGTTGAAGTTGGACCTCAAATGGACACATTTTTATGTATTTGGGAGAAAAAATACTAAGTTGTAGTTCTGCCATGCCCACACTCTATTTACGGGCGGCAGGGTGTCGAACAATGATTCGATTACATGAGCATTTGATTTTGAAACCCAGCTATGGAAGACTTTCAGCTTAAGATCTTTTACTGAAATGTCAACATGCAACACAAAATGCCAATGAGAGTTCTCGTAGTGTCTGGAGCAAGGTACTATATGAAAACATTTGGCGAGTCGCATGGGCCTGCCGGCTGTAATTTGCCCATCACTGTTCTTAATATAAATAGTTCATTCTTGTTTTCATAGAGCTGAAAATTGTAGATATGGATGCATGATCATTAATGGCCAGAAGTTTAGCATAGTTTTCAAAATACTGATATTTAAGACTTGAAACTTGAATTGTATTATTTGGTTTTAACCTCAAAATGTTATTTGCGGCCAGAGAAAGAGCTATTATTACTGAATTCTGTTTTGACCCAAGATACAGGGGAGAATACTATTGCAATTACAGCTGATGCATGAACAGGCTTTTTACCCCACTGTATAGAAAACATTTGCTGTACTTATTCAGTTGTATAATAACATGCCTAATTTTTGTCCATACTTATAAATGAATTTTCTGAAACTTTAAAAACAGACATCGTCTTTATATATATACATCTTATGTATGTTGTAGTAAAAGGTGAACCATTCATATCGCCTTTCCTTGCCTTTGTACTTCTTCAGACTGCACCAGATAAAGGCCTGCTGTACAGTTGTCTTGAAGAGAGAGGAGACATGTCCTTATTTGACCTGACCCTGGATTCTTTACGACTAACTGCCTTTATTTGTAGATGTTATGGAAATAAGTTTTGAATACTTTACGCGTACACTGCAAACTTTCAAGAGGGTGTCAACTTTTATCGGTTTTGAAATTTCCTGTACATTTTTTGAGTGTGCAAAGAGAATTTAAGAGACAAAATTGAGAAATGTGCCTTAGGTTTTTGCCTATTGAGTTGATTTATTACAGGTTGCCATGGAAATGCTACGCTTAGGTAGCTGAACCATTTTTGTAAAGGGGACCACTTGAACCTGATATTTTGCACTATCTCTAAGGATGTAAACCTCTTACAAGGAGTAATTTCATGGGGGATCTGCCCCGGCAGATTTTATCGCTGTATATCAGAGAAAACAACTGGATAGGGTTGATGAATTTCTTTCTGTTTCATTATATGATGCAGATGTTTGCAGTACCTTCTTTTTTATTTACTCAAAATTGTTTCAGATGGTTTTCTTATGTTAGGGGTAGTTACAGTCTGTTAGTGTGATATTGTAGTTGCAAATTTATACAGAAAGACCAGCCATATCTTGTACTGATGTTTATCTGTGTGTACGGATGCAGACATAATTATATTCCCTGCCACTGACGAAAGAGCTCATTCCTTCACTGTGCTAAGAAAGTTCACACGTAAAGTTGATAGATGAATGGGTCTACTTAACGTGTCCTAGTTCCAGTGGATGTAGCATCTTCAAACAGCAGAAACATTCTCCTGAATACAGCATCATAAGAGTGAGTGGTTGCTTTTCATGACTGTCTCTATTTTTCTTTACCTACCTCTTGTTAGCGTAAGTATAGCGAATTGTTTAGTATGAAATCTCTGCTTCGAATGCACTCACCCTTGTACCATGCTCAGTCTTTAAGAAAAAAATAATGTTTTATTCATCAAATTCAAGGTATCCATTTACATTCCTACTTCTTTGTGAGAAGCTTTATTCTGTGGAAGCTCTTTCTGGAGCACACTGCGAGTGGAAGTGCAGTTGGTGAAACATTACCAATGAATTCAACCAAACGAAGAAAGGAAAAAAAAGAGAGAGAGCCAAAATCTGAGCTATAAGAATAGTGTCTTGCCAACGTCAAATTTTTTGTGAAGAATAGAAGAATACCACTGTGGTCATGGATAAATAAATGTTCCCTGACAAGGTGCTTTTTAATTTTTTTTAACTCTGAAAGAAAAGTCATGAAGTGCTTTGAATAATCGCTTTTATTTTGTTGTCGTTGATATTCAACAGGACACCTGCTTAGAAGCATATTGGTCCCCTCCCCCCTGGTAGAATACAAGGCCTTGGGGGTAAATATTTCTGGAGGGGCACTAAACTTTGTGTGCAAAGTATTCTGCTTCTGTATGTCAAACTTCCTTCTATTTGTAAAGTTAGTACACAATGGCTGCTATAGGACGTAGTTTGAATATCGGCTATCAAGAGTCAGTGGCGTCTTCGAGCAAGAAGTTGGAGAGGGAGGAAAGTGGACTTCATAAGCTGAAGCTGGTTTCTTTGTGCTCTGTTCCTTGCCTTCCTCCCCAAATTTGCTTGAGCTGCCGTGTTAAGTTTCAATGTGTAGTATCACTTTGCGTTGTGACTCATTACATTATTTCAGAATTTCTATTTACCAGAGAAATATTTAAATATTCAGACATTATTTTACCTCATAATTTGTTTTGTTGGAGAAATATAATTTTTTTTTGTATAGATAGTTATGGGAACATAAATTTGTCTTTTTTTTTACACACTGGTTTTGATTTTATGAAATGTTAGTGAATTCTCCTGTCCGTCTGAACCTATTGTGATATTTACTATTGCTTTTGTTTTCTATAGCATGCTTGAAAATTGTTACGCATCTTCTTTGCAAATATGATTGATTCTGTTGATTGAAACCTGCTTGTGATGCTTTTTGTGTACAGCAGGGTGCCCATGTTCTGTCAGTGTACTCTAGAGTTATAAATGTATATGGCATGCAGCCAGGCAAAATGTAGTACATGTCTGCACTGTAACCCCTACATAAGATACATCACGGCATATTTTGGAGGCTATTTTTCCTCTCAGAGATGTGGCTATTTCTTGCTATGAATGTGTACATGCAGAAGTTTAATATTAATGCGCAAACTGGACTCCTTGTAGGGAATGTTCATTGTTGATTTTAGCTTTTTGTTCTGCATTTTGATTGGTCTTGAGTGCATGCAGGAGTTCCATTAATAAAATTAGTTACCAAAAGAGAATTATAAGACAATTGTTCAGATTCTTTAGGTTGGGTGTCAACTTGGTTGTGTCATGAGCTGAATGTACAGAGCAATTAGTTGTGTGTGCATGTTTTTGACTGGCAGTGTGCTTTTTACTTCTTTGCATTTAGGTGTTACTTGTTTTATGCTGGAAGTTGAGAAAGCTTCTGGTCGCAGAACTATTTCTTTCCTGTGTCTCTGTAATTTCTGTCAGTCATTTCTCTTTTTAAAAACAATATTGTTCTGTTGATGTGTTCTCTTTTTCCCCACACCAAACATTTTTATGTTCATCACTAGCATTTTACAGTCGGCTCAGACAGTTACCATTTTTTTCTCTATAATTTATTTAGTTTGCTTGTGCCAAAAAATGATATCAACTGGTCTTTTTAAAAGAAGCAATAGTGTTATTAATCTGAGCGTTTGGGAGCCGGTATGATTTTCATTTTGACTCTTTTTATCATGATGAGGTTGTGCCTTTGGTGAATGCCCATATTTTTGTAGAATTGTATGTCATTGTCTCAGCTTCTGCGCATATGCTTTTGTTTTATTTATCACTGTGTCAAATCAATGGGCATTGTAGTCCTTATTCTATTTCTCCTACAAGACTCACATTAGGCCAAAGTGTTCCATCGGGTTATAGTGAACAAATTGTTGTGCCTTCAGAGGACTTGATGGTTCAAAATTTAGGGGACCAAGCTAAGTATATTAGCTTGGTGTACTACTTGTGGGAGGGAACAGTACAGTTGTCTTGTGGCAAATCAAAATGGGACTGGAATAGCTGAGATTATTTAATGAAAAGTCTTGAAAACTAAAGTTTTGTTTCAGATTCACATTCCCCCCCCCCCCCCCCCTTGATACACACTAGAAGTTATCGCAAGGAACCTTCCAATTGTCTTCTTGTAGATGTTTGTACTGCCTACTATGTGATAATGGTTAAGTTTTGTAGGGTGCTTTTTCTAGAGTTGCCTTTAATAGACGTGGTTCCTGTCTTTTTGACTGATGGTGTGGCATTCGTAACAATTTTGTGTACCAGCTGTCTGCCTCGCCCTGTCTTGTCAATGTGTTCAAATGATACCGTTTCTGGACAAATGGCTGTCTTCACCAAGTTTACCATCTATTTTAAAAAAAAATGCGAACTGGGAGGAGTTCTGCATTTGAACTGTTTTCTAATAATGTGGTAGATCAGATTTAACGTCTCTTTATCTTCTCTGTCCTGGAAGATGTTGAATTATGACAAATATTTCAAATTTTATTTGCGTTTTGTATCAATGAATGAACCAATGTCAAAGCACTTTTCGAGGATCATGAAAGTTTATCATGTTTTCATGTTACATTACTGCAGTGAGGGCATCCTGCGTTCAGTTTTGTATCTGGGAACTTTGGAAGTCAAAAATTTTTTCCCTAATGTTCTTAACTTTTTTTGCAAACATTCGAGTGTCTGTTTGTCCAGCCTCTGACATTACCTAAGTGTACGTTGTCTGGTTCCTAGACAGACTAAAAATAAATTTTGAGCCGCATTCTATCATTTGATTTAGAGCGAATTGTATCCAGTTTGTTGTATCTACCGAATAATAGGGTAAAAATTCTATTCATTAGTGAACATGAATTTGGTCCTATTGTATCTTAGAATGTGATTCTATTTCAGAAATGCACAAGCAACCTTTGTGAAAAATTATCATTTTGAAAGTTAGTTTTGAAAAAGTAAAATTTTATTTTGGTTGGTGTGCTCAAAGTGCTTGCTATCAATAGAACTTCTGGAATTTGTTTAGCTTAAGTTTTCCAAACTTTTATGCATTTTTGTTTAATTTTGGATTTTAAATTTCACAGTGTTTGAACCCAATTTGATATTGTTTTTATGTTCTTTTGCAATGCGAGTAGCTTTATGTGTGCTAATAGTATCAGAAATGAATTGTCTGTGCTTATTTTGTATCACGTTATTCGGGTTACCTTCGCATTAGCCTTCTCTGGCATGTACTACATTGTGAACTGTAGTGAAACTTTATGTAAAGGTTTCCTCTTTCATTTAGCAGGTGGTTTCCTAATGTGAATGTGTATTCATTATTTGTAACAGTTTCAGAGTCGTCGTGGCTTGCCTCTTCACCATTTCAAACCTGCACTGTTTTGGGTAAAGTGATAAAATCGCACTAGCCTATAAAATGTTCACAAAAGTCCTCAAAATTGTCAGTCTGAAAGTGATGTGCACATGTTCAATATTGTGGTAATTGCGCCAGCATGTTGGGACATTGGTGCTTTGGTGTTTTAATCATTGATTTTTCAACTCACACTCCTCCTTGTTGTTCTCTTGTTGGCACTGATGTTTCAATACTCTTGTCATACTGTGAGTGCACAGAGTACTGATACTGCCTCCATCTGTTCATGAGGAAGCTTTAAATGGTACGTCACCATGTGAAGGTCTTGCAATACTGATTCATGGAGAATTGAATAGTGGGCATTTATGGAACTAGTTTCGTCTCTCTTCTTTACAGTCTTAATGTTTCTGTAGTTGTTTCTCTGCTACCTTCTCTCTCTGTTAACTGTTTCTTTCAACTGTGCTCCCCCCTTTCCACGTCTACTTAATTGTCACTTTATAATGGAGAAATGCAGGTGAAATGGATTAATAACAGTTTGAGTACGTCCCAAAGTGGCTTAAGAATTTCTGTGACGCCTCCTGTGGTACAGCAACAGTGGGGTTGGTCATTGACCGCTGACCGTTGATATTATGTCCAGTCAAGAGATATGTGCTATCAAAGCAAATCACATGTATTTACTTGCTTTTGTTATACAATAAAAATGAATAAATTGTCTTAAAGATTTCATGTTCCTTGTACACTTGATTTCTTGAATAGTGTCAGTAGTCCTTCTTTAGCTGGTCCTCTTTCTCAAATGAGGAGAAGGAAACTTTTTTTTCTGGTAAATAAAGAAAAGTGTATTTTCTTATTTTTCCATGGATCCTGTACTTTGAGGTTGTTGCTCAACGTTTATGGGTATTTAAGAAAAAGGAGGGGAGGCGTAGCAAGTGTAGATGGGGGTAGCAGTCCAGTGATTCTACTAGGTTCCGTCATAAACTTGCTCGTGTTTAAGGCAGATGGTGAGAGGAGGATGTATCTTTTTACTGCTTTGCACCACTGTTTAGGATGGAGTGGCCAAGGAAGAAATGCTTATTTTTAAAGTAAATGAGGATGCTTGAGAGTTTCTGAAATAAATGCTTCATTGCAATATATTAATTTCCATACAGGCTTTAACCTCCCAATACCAAATGATACCTTTAAACCAATGAATGACTAAGCCTATCGCTTGTGTTCCATTGCTTTGCTGATATTGCATGCATATGCATCACATTGTACTGAAGTATATTTAAATATTCGTATAGAGATAACAAATTGGTGATGGGGTGGCACATAAAAAAGTAAATGTGAGAATTGAGATGTGTGACGATTTATGTTTCTCATGATTTAAAGCAAGTTGTGATTCTTTATCATTTGTTGTTGTGTAGAGATGTGGCACATTTGTGGTGTGTGTGTGTGTATATGTGACTAAGTGCATCTTTCTGTGTGGCACACTCAACCACAACCCCACAGGCCCTCATACCCTGGACTGCTGATGTTCTGATGATGGGGGTCTTTCACAAGGGATTTATTTATTTGTGAGGCAGCGTGGTGGAATCAGGCTCTCGTCAAAATAATCAAAGTGAAGAAACTTGCATTTTTCCGCAGGTTTGTGAATTTTTATCAAATTTTTGTTTTTTGGCTCAATACCTATCATACCCATTAAAGAACTCATTTCTGTGTGGATTTTTCAGAAAAGCTTTGACAAAAATGTAAATTTTCAGTAAAAACGGACTCTTAAGCTAAGGAAATAACTAATCTTTGTCGGCCATTTTCTCACTAATTTTACCTCTGAAAACATGTGACCACCACCTCCTTCTATCGCAGATATCTCGACTTGTATTCAAGATAAATGGATATTTTTTTTCATCCAAATAAAGACAAGTGAACAAGCAATACGATGATACCAATAACTCTACATGCCCAAAAATTTGACGAGAGCCTGATTCCACCTCACATTTATAGTTTTTACGCAGAGATGTACCCACATTAGACTGCTATTAGGGGACTCTACTTTTTGTTCCTTGAAGAAAAGGATTCACCCTGTCAAAAATCTCTTGCTACTTGTCATTGAAACATGACAGATGTGTATAGGGGGATGAGTCAGAAGCTGCAGTTCACAAATTCGCCCCTCCCAACTTTAAAATGAGAATAGACAAGTTGTTGTTATTTGCAAACTGGTGAATTTGAAACACTTTGAATGGGTGGATACACCAGTCCCGAGAAAACAAAGACAGTATGAATCTATATATGCGTCTTATTTATTTTTTTTGTTCAGCTTTGGATCCATGGAGATTATTGAAATGGCATCCTATCCATTAGTGAAAGAATTGAATTAAACTTTAGCAAAGAGGGCATGAATTAAAAAAATTGTCCACACTTTGTGTTCATAAGGATATTAATGCTTTTCTTCCCATTGACAGAGCTTGTCCTTCATCTATATTACTAGGTTATTTAGTACAGATAGGAAAATGAGCAAGTTTTTACTCTGTCTTAAATATAAGAGGTTAAAGAATGCAGCTGGCTTGTCCAAACCTTTTAAGATGACATTTTGTGATTAGCTTCATTTCGCTTGTCTCCTATTATTCTTATATAAGCCGCACAAAATTGAATTGCGCTTTACGTAATGCTGTTAAAACTTGATATTGTGATATCAAAGAGCACGATATAGATAATGGCGAATGTCAAGAATAGCTCCCCACAACCTTCCAGTTTACAGTGTAAGTCACTCGCGAGTTAGTGCTGTCGTGTGAAATATCCAGTTTCCAAATTGAGGGAGTTTTATCACAGCTGTCAAGGCTGTGGAAAAATGTTCTCTTTGTGCCTGGAATTATAGTGGTTAATGCCGATGTTCTGTAGAATTTGAATTTCATTTTGTAATGACTTTTGTTTTGGCAACTGGAATTCAGTGCTTTCAATGTGGTTTGCGTTGAAAACAAAAAATGGAATTGTACAAAATAGCGCTAAGCTTGCACTCCTGTTGATGACACATCAAGGAGCTCTCATTAGGTGATTGTAGCCAAGTGGATTTCCTTGGAGGGCTCTTCTTAATTGTCACCATTATATAATGTGCACATGTTACAGGGTAATCTTTACTAGTGGTAGTATATTCCAAATTGTGTTGTGTAATCAACATAAATAATGAAATAGATGTTCCACCTCTTAAATAACCTAATGGTGTTGATAGGGGAGTTAAACCTATCCCATTTCACCATTTTCAATGAAATAGATCGTGGTTTGGTGTATTATGTGCAGAAAATGTAGTAGCTTAGAGTAGAACTAGGATTCAGTGATGTGTTTGATTACCAGAATCCCTTTGTAAGCTTCATGATAAAGTGTTGTTGTTCTCAATAAATTTTAATATTAAATGATTGTTGATTGGTTTCATACGCTATGTTTTCTTTGGACTTACCTTAGTCTCATCATCCTGAAATTTGTACTTTCCATAGAATATGGTCACCGCTCCGCGTTAAATTTTCTCATGGATTAAAGATAGAAAGAAAATAACAGTGATGGTGGGAGGGATGCAAACTTTAGTATTAAGTGTTTTACAGCATTTGCAACACAATATGGTCATTATAAGTGCCGAAGATTTAGAGATGCTCTGGTGTGGTTTGCTTCTTCTTTCCTTTCAAACATCTATCGTCTTTATCTCCCCTCCGTCATTTTTGTGTTTGTTCTCTCTTGTAACACCTCTAATCTTCGGCACTTTACTTATATGACCTTATTGTGTTGCTAGTGCCGTAAAACACTTACCATACTAAAACTAAAGAGTTGTTACAAATGAGTAACAAACACAAAAAAGGAGTAGAGAGAGATAAGAAGGAAAGATGTTTGAAAGGGAAAAAGGAGAAAACCACGCCAGATCACTCACCAACCATCTTCATTAAAAAAAAAAAATAGTGGAGAAATTCTGTGGAGGTGTGTGGTTTGTCTGATCTGGGACTCGTTAGTTAGGTGTAGGAAAATGTGGAAATAAGAAGGATGTATTTTTAGTATGGTGTGTAGTGGACTTTGCTTAAAATGATGTCTTGACAAAATGATTTTCAGAAACCCTTTTCTGTCACCACAATATATTAACAGAAAAGAATGGAAGAAGCTTTTATGATGGTTAAATGGATGTTTTTCTGTGCCCCGCCCAATGTCAGTTTAGGCAAAGTTCATTGTACCCTGCATGATGCTCTGTTTTAACTTTTCTGCATGTATTTTAAAAGCAATTTATTCCTCCTGTAGACATAGTATGTGCAAATGATCACTCTGATGATGGTTCTTGTGGTCTTTTCGTTCTTTTCCATTGTCCTTTGAACTGTTCAGATTCGAGCTTCTGTTTCCAATGCCTTTGCTTGTTTCTTCAATTTGTTATTATTACAAATTACTTGTTAATGCATACAACTGTTATATACCCTTGTACACTGAAAACAAAAACGTTTGTGTTATGTAAATAAGCATCTCATTGCCTACCCCATCCTCCCCACCACCCTTCATTCACATTTATTAACACCCCCCCCCCCC